ATGTCGGTTAGTGTAGACAGTCTCATTTAAAACGCATGTTTCAATATTTTGTCGTGTCGGTGCCGGTCCGTGTCCTTGCCGGAACGTGACGGTCCGTGTCGTATAGTCTGAATCGACCTTTATTGTTGATCACGACTGACAAATTATAACATTTTTTTTTTTTTACCCGGTGGAAATCCTCATGGACCGTCACCCCGCCTCTCTGGGAAAGAGACGGGGTGGTGTGTGGGACTCACCCCCCTGTGCTCCCGGGCAATTGACGACCCGGGAGCCAGCGTGCAATGGGGGTGCCTACCTCACTAAAACCACCGGGGGTGGACTTCTTGGCGCTGTCTGGGGTCGCCTAGGACTCACGGTGGCATTCACCGGACGACCCCGCGCCGCGCGCAGTTATTCGCGCGCCCCTCTATGCTCCCATTCGTAGAAGCCTTGCCCTGACAGGGCAGGTCCTCTTCGTCCTTTTGTGATAGGACCTCATTCTTCCTCCTTGCAGCAGGGATGCCACCCGGTCCCTGCTGCGCCCTCTCGTTGCTGTGGGGGGCGGGTGAGTCACGACTTCCCAGGTCGTACCCACCCCCTAGGGTCCCAGACCCGCTCCTTTCTCCTCCCCTTTTTGTCGCCTTTTACGACAGGCAGGGGCTACCTCGGGGCTATTCTTTAGACGGCACCCGCACGCCTTAGATGGGATCCTACTCCCGGATAACGGCGCCCTGAGAAGGGCGTCGTTGGACCTCTTTTTTTTTGTTGGTCCCGCCACCTACTGCCAGGCTCTGAGATGAGCTGGCTGCCGACGCGTCCACCTTCTTCTACCTCTCCTTGGTGGTGCGCCTCTCCCTCCATGTGCGCCATCCTGGGGGTTGGTTTCCCCTCTCCTCTCTCTTTCGGCGCTTTCCTTTGAGCTCATGACTCCCTCGCAGAATTTGTAGAAGGCTTCCCAGCCTTCTTCTCCTTCTACGATCGCCTCGATCACCTTGTTGAGCGATAGGTCATCCCCAATAACTTCGACCAGGGCACGGCGCTCTTCCTCCCATGCCGGGCACTCTTGGAGTGTGCTGCGCCGTGTCCCGGTCCCCTCCACAATGGTTGCACCTAGGGGTGCCATCGCGACCTATTCGACACAGGTACTCCCCGAAGCACCCATGTCCGGAGAGCACCTGTGTCGTGCGGTAGGATGCTCGTGTCCACGGGCGATCCAGCCATTCCTGCAGCCTCGGGAGGATGGCGTCCACAGTCCTACGGCTCGAGCTGTTCGACTCGCCGAGTCTGGTCCTCCATTCCTCTCTCATTCCCTCTTGCATCTGCGACCTGAGGGTCCTCCTGATGGCTGGGGTGACGATCACTCCTTCCTCCCTCAACTCTCGCACCCGGTCGTACATAGCTGCGTGTATTCCCGCCGCTATGTCTATCGGGGGAAGTCCCGCTAACAGCGTCGCAGCGGGGTGGGAGACCGTCCTGTAAGCTCTCACCACCCTAATTGCCGCTCTCCTTTGCGCCTTCCTAAGTATAGCCAGGGCTCTGGAATTGCGCTCCAGAGCCGCTGACCACACCGGCGCCCCGTAGAGCGCCATGGACGCCAGCACATTTGCGAATAGCTTTCGCACGCCTCCGCACGGCCCCCCCAGATTCGGCATAAGCCGTGAGAGGGCATTGGCCGCTCCATCCAGCCTTGGCGCGAGTCACCGAAAATGTTCGGAAAAACTCCAGGCTCCGTCGATGCAGAGGCCCAGGTATTTCACATGGGCCCCGACGGGTATGCTGATACCCCCGATCCTAATCCGCGCCTCCGCCGGCGGTCCCATGTTGCCCCCGTGGAGGAACACCGCCTCGGTTTTCTCGGCGGCGACTCTGAGGCCGAGCTCATTTATCGCCCTGACCGTGCAGGCCACAGCCAGGTTGGCTTTCACTTCGGCCTCTCTCCAGCTCTCCCCGACGGCCAGCACCATCGTGTCGTCGGCGTAGCACACCAACGTGCTGCCGTCGGGAAGAGCCGCGTCCAGTACCCCGTTATACGCTACGTCCCACAGGAGTGGTCCTAGGACCGACCCCTGCGGGACGCCGCATCCCGCTCTCCAGTCTCGGTGCGTGCCCTCCCTGTCATTGCAGGAGATCCACCTATCTCTGAGATAGTCCTCGATGATTCCCCTCAGGTGCCACGGGACCCCGAAGCTCCTCAGAGCCCGGACGATCGCCCCGTGGGGAAGGGAGTTGAAGGCGTTCGCTATGTCTACAGCGACCGCCATCAACACCCCCTCCCCCTCCTCTACAATCCGGTCCGAGAGAGACTTGACGCACTTAATTGCATCGATGGTCGACTTTCCCTCCCGGAACCCGAACTGCCTAGGCGACAATCCCGCCTCCCGACCCTCCAAGTGTCCGCCAAGACGGGCAACCATTATCCGCTCGAGGATCTTGCCTACCTCGTTCAGCAGGCAAATCGGCCTGTATGCCCCTGGGGTGTCCGCCGGTTTTCCTGGTTTGGGTATCAGGACCAGGTTTGACCTTTTCCAGCTGTTCGGGAATTTCCTCTCTCGCAGGCATGCGTTGTAAAGCGCCCTTAGCCTTTCACCCACTTCGTCCATGGCTAACTTCCAGACCACTCCCTGGAGTCCGTCGGGGCCTGGTGCCTTTTTGGGCTTGATCCTCTTCACGGCCCTCCTGAGTTCCGCCTCCGTTATTTCGAGGTCTTCGGACCATACCTGCTCCACCTCGGCTTCTCCCGGGTGCTCGTTTTCTCCGATTTCCTCTCCCCCTGCCGGGAAGAGAGTACGGACTACGGTGTCCAGGAATTCGACCTCTAAGGACTCCACCGCCGGGGGCGCACCGTTAGACAGTTTGTTCATAACTATCCTATACGGGCGCCCCCATGGGTCCTCGTTCAGCGTGTCGATCAGGTCGTTCCACGCGCGGTCTTTGGCCTTCCGAATGGCCTTTTTTAGTTCCGAGCGGCTTTCCCTGTATTTCGACAGGAGGTCCTCCATCTCCGCGTGTGTCGTCGCGGCCCTTCTCCTCGCTCTCTGAAGTGCCCGTCTATTTCTTACGGAGTTGCTCCTTAGCGTCTCGATGTAATCTGACCACCAATAGGCAGCTTTCTTGGGGGAGAACCTAGCTCTGGGCATGGCGTAATCACATGCCCGAGTCATCATTCCCCTCAGCCATTCGGCTTCCTCCTCTATGTCTCGATGGGGAACCGCGGGTGCCCACATGGCCGCCACCAGTGCGGCCCTTAACTTATCCGCGTCCAGCTTCCCCACTGACCATCTGACGTTCGGTCGGGTAGGGCCCACTTCCCGTCTCGTCTCTCGGCGGCACAGGGTCACCTCTATAGGAATGTGGTCCGACAACAATTCCGTGTCTCCGACCACCCCCCAGGAGGCCACCCAATCCTTGGCAGCGGGCGACACCCAGGTGAGATCAATTATTGACTCGCCCTGGGGACACACGTGCTCGCGCTTCCGCTGTTTAGGAGTCTCAGCCCGAGTCTGGCTGCCCAGGCTTCGACTTCCATTCCCTTCACGTCCGGCCGCCGGGAACCCCACGCCAACGACTTGGCGTTAAAGTCCCCGGCGACCAAGACCGGTCCGGGGAGGAATCCTCTTAATTCGCGCTCCAGCTCGTCGAGCCTGTCTTCGAGCTCGGACCTGCTGAGGCTGGGCCTCAAGTAGACCGCCATAATTATTAGCGGTCCGCACTCGGCAAGGACCCATCCCTCTCCTCCTCGCAGTTTGGAGCAGGGCACGCGTTTATCGCTCGCCCTTCTCCACACGATAGCGGCAGAGCCGTCGGAGCTCCCTGCCCAACAAGGGTGGTCAGGGACGCGGTATGGCTCTGATATGACGCCAATTCCACAACCACGCTCCGCGAGGGCATGCAGGAACAAATCCTGCGCCCTGCGGGCGTGGTTGAGATTGGCCTGGAGGATCCTTAATTGCGTGAAGATCCTGGTTCTTCAGCCTCCTCCAGGCCGTTTGCCTCCTGTTGCGTCGGCACCGGTTCCGTCTGGGTCCAGGTGCCCTCGCCGGTTTCCGTCTGGAGCTCGGTTAACGGGGTCGAGTGATCCCACTCCAGAGAACCCTCCTTTTCTTCCTCGATGTCCATTAAGTCTACGAGGACTCCCACAGCCGGTGTTCCCTGCGTCCCAGGCTCCTGGGGCGGGTTCTTACTGGCGCGGTTACTCTCCTGTCTTCTCTTCTTTGCCGCCTTCTTTGAGACTGGTGGGCACGCTTTGCCTCCAGCCTTATGCCCACTTGGCAGTCCCCTTGCCTTACACACGTCGCAGCTGGGGTTGGCGGTGCATGCAGCGGCCTTATGCCCGTTTACCCCGCACCTATAGCACATCTCGCTACGGTCCGTGGGGCTCCTACATTGGGGTCTAACGTGGCCCCTCTCCAGGCACTTGTAACACACAAGTGGCCTGGCCTCGAGGAGTTCCACCCGTGCGGAAACCCAGCCGATCCTGATTCTTCCGGGTTCCGCCACTCTCTTTGCCGAGGCCAGGGGGCATTGCACCCACACCGACCCCAGACCTCCGGCAGCCACTCTGATCTGACCCACCCTGATATCGTGGGGTGAGCATTGTCCCACCCCTTGGACTGCCTCCTTGATCTCCTCCGGAGAAATTGAGTCGTCCAGGTCCCTAATACGGACCTCGGCCGTTTTGACCGGACGCCCAACTCTGACTCCCTCCATGTCCTGTGCCACCTCTCTGATTTTCTCGACCAGGACCCGGCCCTGGCGTGTGCACCTTCTCCCGGGATCTCCAGAATTAGTGCACCCGTCAGGCCCTTTCTTTGCCTAAGCTCCTTGATGCCTATTTCCTCCAGATTGACTCTGGATCTGATCCTCCTCATGCCCTCCTCGGATTGACCCTTCGGGAACGTTAGCGTAACCGCCGCTGTCCTGGGTGCCCTCCGGGGTGGTGTCTTTTTAGTCAGCTGCTGTGTCCTCTTGTTCGTCGTGTCGGTGGTCCTCGTGGCAGGCTGCGAGGTCGCTCCACCGATGGCTTCGTTTCGCTCTTTTCCTTAACGACCGGTTGCGTGGCCGCTTTCGCCGTCTTCGCCGCCGCTCCTTTTTTGTTGCCGCCCTTAACGACCTCTGTCCAGGGGGCTTTGTCCACGTCCGGGATTAACCTTGCCGCTGCTTTTATCGGCTGTTTCGCGGTCGTCTGTTTGCCTTCTGGTAGGTTGCTGATGCCCCCTTTCCTCGGCTCGGACTTCCTGCTTGCTTCCTTGTTCTTTGTAGGAAGTTGAGGGCCTGTCTGCTTTGCAATCTTACCCTTCTTTCTCTTGTCCTTACTATCTAGGGGACTTTCTTTAACGTCCCCAGTGACTTTGGGTAAGATCCTAACCGTCTTTATCTTGGTGATCTTAGGAAGGATTCTTTCCTTACCTCTCGGGTCCTCGTCCGTTATTCTGGCGAGTGCTCCCTGGCATCTCGCTACCAGATTGTTGAGGTTTCCTCTCACAGTCTGAGGGTCACCAGTCACTAGCGACGTTATGGAGACTCCCTCCATAACCCGCCTGACATCCTCCATGGCCTCCTCTATTGGCGGCTCACTCAGGCGTTTCCTGACGCCCCTTAGCACGGGTCTAAGGACCGGAGCAGTCTTCTCTCGGTTTTCTCCTTCGGGGTTGGCTGCTACGCGATCGTCGTCCCCAATCTCCATAACCGCGTAGCCTTGGAGATCTTCCGTGTGTCGCTCCGGTAGCGCATTCGCAGGAGCGCCCTTTGCTTTCCGCTCTCTTTCCGTCCTCAGGCTTTCGGTGAGCTCGGCAACCCTTTCCTCCAAGCTTCTTATTCGCTGTCGGAGCCTCTCTAGTTCGGCAGCTTCTCCTCTAGCCTCCGGCGTCATGGCCTTTGTGGTCATGGCCTCTGCTGCGGCCCTTATGGAGTTGGCACTCACCCTCAGCTCCTTAACAAAGGTGCCTTTTAGGTTCTTTGAGAACTTGGCGACCTTATCGATTACGCTAGTGCTGTTGACTATCTCCGCAGCCACTTGCTCGGCGGACATCGCGTCCATTTGCCGGACGAGTTCCCTCTCGGGGGTTAGATCTCGAGCGCGCACTTTCGGATCTAGGACCTTTCTCAGTGCCCTCTTCTCCTCTTGGAGTTTTTGGATCTGTTTTTTATGCTCCATTTTTTTCCTCTTGTACAACCCTTCAAAGGTTGTAGGAGGTCTTCCCCTCTTGCGCTTTCCCGCGTATCTTTGGTAACCCTCGTCGCTGGAGCTCGACTTTTCTGAGACTCTATCAGTCTCCTCGCCTGCCCGTTCCGCCTCGATCACCGTGTCTGAGCCATCCAACGAGACCTGTGGGGAGGGTTGTCGCCTTCGCACCCTCTCCTTAGGTCGCTGATCTCTCTTTGAGAGTGGTCCCGGTCTTTGTTTTTGCGGGAGTGATCCTGATCCCTTCGAATCGCTCCCCTTCGTCTTTGTGCAGTCCTTGTTCCGGGCGTCCTCACGCTTTAGGTAAACAGAACATTCCCGGCCTTTAAAGGCATACACCGCCTCCCTCTTAGCCTCCTCGGGCTCCTTGCCTCCTCCCTCCTCTCCTTCACACTTGTTGATGGAAGC